AGGAGGGCGATGAGGAGTGGGAGGGGGAAGAGGAGGAGGAGGAGGAGGGAGGAGAAGGAGGATGAGGAGTTGTTTTTCTTATGCGATACATGTATAATATGTCTGTGTTGATGGATGTATGCATGTACGTGTGCATGTCTGCCTGTCTGTCTGTCTGTATGTATGTATGTATTCATGTATGCATGTATGTGTATATGAATGCATGTCGTCAGTATGTATGTGTGTGTATGGGTGTGTGTATGTGTGTATGGATGTATGTATATTTGTATGTACGTGTGCATGCATCTATGTATGAATGTATGTTCGTATGTATGCATGTATGCATGTATGTAGCTGTGTATATGTGACCATATGTATGTATCCATGTATGTATGCATGCATGTCTGTATGTCTGTACGCGTATATACGGAGGTCCAGGAGGAGGGTCGTCGTTGGTTGCGGGGGAGTGGGCGAAGTTCGAGCATGATGTGTGGCGTGTGTTGGTGGCCTTGCGCCATCTCTGTATTTTAGAATTGTAGAAGGAACGTTTCCCCCACGCTCGTCGCAGTTCTCTTTCCTCCTCCTTCATCCCTCGTCGTTCTCCTCCCTCCTCGCCCTCGCCGTCGCGAGACTTACTTACCAACCGCCCTCTGGAAGGACGGCGTGCCTTGGGGTAGCAGGGAGAGGAGTAGGGGGAGGAGGAGGAGGAGGAGGAGGAGGAGGAGGAGGAGGAGGAGGAGGAAGAGGAAGAGGAGGAGGAGGAGGACCTAGGAGGAGGAAGAGGAGGAGGACGAGGAGGACGAAGAGGAGGATGAGGAGGAGGAGGAGGAGGAAGAGTGGGAGGAGGAGAAGGAGGAGGAGGAGGAGGAGGAGGAGGAGGTGGACCCGCAGGAAGAGGCGGAGAAACACGTTTGTCTCGAGAGGGGCTGCGATTCCCGAGCCGTTCCTCGGATCAGAGTCTTGTAACCCTCTTGTGGCCAAGGTTCGCCGTGGCCGTCAAAGCCCCTTCGTTTTCAAAGTCCGCTGCCTTATGGCTCATGAAGGGGCGGGATCTTGAGGGAAACGGGTCCTGGAGGTTTTTCGCCGCTTTCGGACTCCGGGGACCTCAGCGGCCCACGGATTCTGTTAGAGTTCCTGAAAGCGTCTTAGGTTTCAGTTGGATTCCTTATGTTTCTCCAGGATTCCATCAGGGTTCCTTGGAATTTCGCTCCAGTATTCCATCGGTTTCCCGAGGAGTCCCTCAGGATTCCAGTTCGAACCAGTTCTTAGGATCCTTGAGGGTCCTTCGCGGTTCCGTAGGAATCTTGCGGGTTCTGTAGGGTTGCATCGGATTCCCAAGGATTCCTTAGGGATCTGTGGGATTCCTTCGAAATCATTTCGGGTTCTTCACGGCTCCTTTTAGGACTCGTATTCGATTCGCGTATGATCCGTGGGCGAATTGCATGGGAATTGTAGATGGGTCACATAGGAATCGTATACGGGTCACATATAGATCGTACAGAGTCGTGTGCGATTCACATAAAATGCGTACGCCATTCACACAGGAACCGTTCACTGTTCACATAGGAATCGTAAACGGCCCACATAGGAATCGTATACGGTACACACAAGATCCGAAGACGATTCGCATGGGGATTGTATGAAATTTACGCAGGAATCGTATACCATACACGTACGGCCTGTATGCGATTCAGATGGACCCGTACACGGCTCACATTGGGGACCGTATACGATTCAAATAGTAATCGCATGCGACTCCCAGCGCGCGCGTGCGCGTTGCATAGGAGTCGTGTACGGGTCACACCGGGATCGCATGCGGTTCACACGCGATTCGTTGACGATTCACATCTGAGTCGTATAATATTGACACGAACCGTTCACGATTCACATAGGGTTCGTATACGGCTAACACAGAAGCCGCATGCGACTAACATGGGAGCCGTCGACGAGCCACATATTCGTATACGGTTCACGTAAGAGTCGTATACGATTTACATTGACTCGTTCATGATTTCCGCCCGAGTCGTATACTCTTCACACCGGAGTTGCTTGCGCTTCGCATAGGGAGCGTATACGACCCACATCGGAATCGCATGCGATTCGCATCGGGATCCTATACTAGTCACACAGGAACCGTATAGGATTCGCGTGGGATGTGTAGTGGATTTGCATGATTTGGTATACCGTTCGCATTGGAAGCGTGATCCGCCCCCGATTCGCATCGCATTCGTGCGCGTTACACACCGGAACGGTATACGATTCACCTTGGAGTCGCATGTGCTTCACATTGGAATATAATCAGAAACGTAGAGGAGCTGCATACGTTGCACATAACAACCGCAAGCGGTTCACATCGTCTACTCAAATAGAAGAACATACGGTTCACATTGGAGCCGCCCGCTCAGAATATCATTATTGCAGATGGGCTGCCTACCGGTTGTTTTCTTCGCAGGAAACCATGTGAACCCCTTAAAGGCACACCATTGGCACTCTAGACTTTCTAAAGATCGCTTTCAATCGAAATCAACGGTGGAAGGTCTTCCGAAGTTTAGATTCCAGAGGGGTGTTCCTTGGTCAACCGGGATATAGCCCGTCCAACCGGGGTCTAGCCCATCCAACCTGGATATAGAGTGCTGCCGCGGGGGGGTGGGGTGAGTAATTCGCCCCCCCCCTCGCCCTTGATCGCGCGCGCGGCACCTCCCGCCGCGTGAGGTAGGCGCGGAGGGCGCTTGCAGCCCACGCGCCAGACGGACTTCGGCCCGCCGATGTGCTGCGATCTGCCACTCCCTCTTCCTCTTTTTCTTTGTGGTACAAGCCAAACCCGCCATGTTCAAGGTTCAAATAATCGAAGGCCAGTTCGGAGAGCAAGGGACTAATGAAGGCCGCGTCTCACCAATCGCCGAAGCCTCCAACAGCCACGCCGATGAATTGGCAACAGCAGGAGCCCGCATGCACTCCTTGCCGCAGGATGTCGCCGACGCGGCCGAGTGGATGCACAAATTTGCGGCGGTCTTTCACCGCGTTTCGGTCGCGATATATGACCGCTGCCATCGCGTTCTCCCGCTCCCCGGCAGCCGAGGTGGGTGCTCCAAGGCGAAACTCAATGGCAAGAAACGCAACCAGCTCACTAAGGGGGGCGGTGGGGGCGATCCGCCAAACCCGCCCGTTGACCCACCCCGTTCCCAAGGCCCACCAGGGCCAGGGTACTACGACGATGAACTCGGCGATCCATGGAACACCCCCCCTGACAACTTTGAAGGCGACGAGGAGGACCCATTCGGCCGCGGGGGGGCTCGACAACGACGAAGACGACGCCCCTTCCACCAGATTGTCGCGACAGCGACGGCCGCGACGCGGACAACGATGTTCCACCTCCACGCCCAAACAGACACATGACGACAGCGACCCAGGAGCTGGAGGTCCACCAGGATCCCACTTCAGGCACTCCACTGCGACCCACACGGAACAAAACAGGGATGGACCACGCGGGATGCAGCGCGGACCCGACCGCCCCTCCCGACGCAGACATCCACGACCCAGGGCACAACTGCGCCAGCAACGCCATCCGCCAGGGAGAGGATCTGGGCGCGGTGTGCGAGGGTCGCATATTGCGCCCCACGGGTCAGCTCCGCCGCCTGAACCCGCTGGGCTGGCCAGTGCCTCTGCGCACCCAGCCCCCCAACGCAACGCTTCCTGCCGCCTGGCGAAACCCCCGCCCCGCCAGGGAACGGGGACCACGGGCCCTCGTACCACCCACCAGGGTGTAGACGCCCGAACCTCCCCACTGCAGCGTGCGAATCGGAGGAGCGCTTTCGCGCAACGCCTTATTTCGGCCAGGCCACAGCCTCCGCGCGATCGCGAAGCCGCATTCACCGCGATTATTTCGGCGCTGCAACAACGTGCCTCCAGCCTCGCGCTCACGCTGACCAGCATCCAGGAACAGTCCAGACCCCTTCTCGACAGGGTCCAAAGTGCACAGTCCGCTCAGAACGAGCCCCAACACTCCTTCCGCACGCCTGCCCTCCGTGGGGCCACTTTCCAGAAATACCTCCAGGCGCGACTTGCTGGCCGCCGCTAGCGCACCACTGCTAGCCGCTTCCTCCCTTTCTGACTTCGTGCCCTGCGAGAACACCTGGCCACATGTTCCGTAGACCTGGCACCGGGCCGCGGGGGGGGGGGAGCCCCAAGGCGGCACTTTCTTTTCACAAGGCTCCGCGGCGCCTACGCCAAAGCGCGTTTAAAACCGGTTTCCTTCTTTTCACGGGGATGCAGAGGGGGCGAGTTTCGCAATGCTCGCTACATGCTGCTTCTGCTTTCCAGTCAGGGTCCCTTTTCGATTGCGCCAGGGGAACGTTTCTTTTTGCCCCTTGCCATTCATAGGCGGAACCTTCCCCCGTAAGAGGTGGGCGCAGCTTGCGCTAGCACCCCGCGTGTCCGAATGGACCTCGGCCCGTCCTCATCGGTGCGCTCTCCTTGTCCCTCTCCTTCTCCCTCTCTGTCCCTCCCTCCCTTCCCTCCCCTCTCCCCCTGCGGTCGCCGTAGTCGCCCCATCGGCGCATGTCCTGGGCCTCGATCCCCTCGCGGCCGGCCCTCTTCTCCTGGGCCGTTTTTGGGCTGTGTTGGAGCCCGCTTGAAGCGGGCCAGGAGCGCTCCAGAGGTTCCTAAGATTGCGCCCAAGACTGAAGCCATCTCCGATCCCGCTTGGGGGTTGCCCTGAGGTTGCCCGGGGTACTTTGGGACTTTGTCGAGGTTCTCGCTTCGCCTGGGGACCTCGAGGGGCCGCCACGCGCGCGCGCGGACTAGGGCAACACACACACACACACACTCTGAACCTCTTACTGGAGACTGTAGCATGTCTTTGGCCCGTTGGGCCAGCGAATTGTGGTCCGCCTCCGCCGCCTCCGCCTTTTTCTCTTCTGCCATCATTCGATCAGATACCATATGGTTTTCTCGATGGGAGCTCCCCCCGTGGAAACTTTTGACCGATCGAGAGTTTTGTGAAGTATGATCCTCGTGCGCACTTCGGCTCAAGGACGTTAGAGCTGCAGCCGTGTCTTGGCAAGCGCTGTCGGTCCGCACTCGCTGGCAAGCAATATGGGTATCGACATTGAAGCTGGCGGCCGCGTCAAGACCAAGAAGCGCATCACCACAACTGGCAATCCATACATTCGGCTTCTGTGCAAGCTGTACAAGTTCCTGTCCCGGCGCACGGACTCGAAGTTTAACAAGGTCATTTTCAAGCGGCTCAACATGACAAAGAAGAACAAACCGCCTCTGTCCATCTCCAAGCTGTCCAAACTGATGGAGGGCAAGGACGGGAAGGTTGCCGTCTTGGTGGGCACGATAACGGATGACAAGCGGCTCTACGAGGTACCGAAGCTCACGGTCTGCGCCCTGCGCTACACGGAGACTGCCCGCGCGCGCATCCTCAAGGCAGGGGGAGAGTGCATCACCTTCGATCAGCTTGCTCTCCGTGCGCCCATGGGCCAGGTCGGGGGGTGCCAGCGATACACCTACACAGATCCTGGCCTGGCCGTTCCTGGGCCCGGGATCGGTGCAGATGCCTTCCTGGCCAAGCCAGGAGGAAGTGTGCACAGATCCCGGGACCAGGCCGGGCCTTGCTATGATCGATGTAGGTTTAGTGTATAGTTTGCGTCCCCCTGCCAGGGCACAGTGCTGCTGCGCGGCCCCGTCAAGTCTCGCGAGGCCGAGCGCTACTTCGGCAGGGCACCTGGCGTACCCCACAGTTCCACTAAGCCCCGCGTGCGCTCCAAGGGCCGCAAGTTCGAGCAGGCGCGCGGAAAGCGCGCGTCGCGAGGCTACAAGGTGTGAGGAGCAAGGCCTGTGGAGAGCAACGCCTGAAGGACAGGGAGGCTGCAGTGATGAAAATGAAAGAGGGCGTAACAGCTGCTCGCGGCGACAAACGTGCATATGTTGCTGCTGTTCCTGCTGCTCCTCGTCCTCCTCTCCTTCTCTTTGTGTAGCCAACTTGGTCATGTGTGCAGGCTCAAAGTTGAAGCGGTGTTGCGCTGGTCCTCAAGGGTGTAGCTGACGACGATGTCGAGACGGTATCTCTCGGGGCAGAGCAGAGTAGAGACGAGTCGCATCATTGGCATCATCGTCATCTCCACCATCGTCATCGTTGCCGTCGTCGCCTGGGCCGTCTTCGCTAACCCACTATATTGCACAGCATCTGTTCGTAAGCAACGCTGGAAGATTTGAGGTTGGAGGATGAGAGCGAATAGACTCCGACCAGGACATCGGTATCGGAGTCGGTTCGTGTCGCACATAAGGGCGAGTCGAAGCTTCTCTGAGGCGACGGCGTGTCGGCCGAGGCTAGGGCCAACTTTCATCCGTTGGCCTTGTGGATTGTCCCGTCGGTTGTTCCGAGCTCGTCTCGTGGATTGTCTCGTGGGTTGTCCCGTGGTTGTCTCCTGGGTTGTCATTTGGGCTACTCCTTGGGTTGTCTTGTGGGTTACTCCTTGGGTTGTCCAGTGGTTGTCCCATGATGGTCCCGTAGGACGTCACCTGGCTGTCCCGCAGGTTGTTCCGTGGTTTTCCTGTAGTTGTCTTGTGTTTGTCCCGTGGTTGTCTCACTCTCAAGGAGGCTGGGGCAAAAGGCGAGAGATAGCGAGCGTTTGTCAGCGGTCGTTTGTGCTCAAGCGGCCGGCTGCCAACATATGGCTGCGCCCCATCGCGAGACACACGACGTGCCATTGAGACCGAAAACATTTTCGCTTGACATAGCCCGTCGCTCCCGCGACGATCTCGTACCTCTTGGGGCTATCGTTACTACGGTACAACAGAGTCGGATATGGGCTTCGCCTTAGGCGAAACGTATGGTTGGGCCTCCCAACCCCTTTTCAAACTTGGTAACGGAGCTGGCCCATGGTGGTCAGCTCTAGCTCTACTCCTCACCATTCACGGCACTGTCTGGTGGACGATTGACATGGTGGAGCATCGTGGTGCAGTGGGTTTTGCGCGGAGGAATGTGCATATCGACGCACAACCGCAAGGACACTTGCACTACTGCTTCCGTTCGCGCGGAGGCCTCCTACATGAGTCCTACCTCTCTGCGCTACTACACTCCCGAAGTCCACCTTTGTACTCAAAGTTGTCAGTTTTTTTTTGAAGACGCGATGCATGGCAACATGCGATGCGATGCTGTGCCGCCCCCGCCCCCACGCAGGCGAACGACGACATCACATTTTAACCCGCAACCGCAAACATCCGACCACGACCTATGGAACCATTGGGTTGGTATTACCATAATTGGCCGGTGAACCACCTCGTCCAATTTATCGGCGTCAAGCCTAACATTGCCCAGTGCATGTGCGACCGAGTTGGGCAAGTATGGGTCAGCGAATTGCACCTTGACGCTCAGCGGGGTGACCCGTCAAGGTCCAAGCATGTACCGAAGGAGCGGTGCGCGTGCGCAGTCGACCCCTCCACATTAAGGGGATGTGGATGGTGCTGGACACTCCCTACAACCTGCGTGTCCCCACGCTGACACCTACGGCGGAGGTGCAGCATGCCTCGATATTCAGGGTGCCGAGGTGTATCAAGCGGGGGCACCTGCAGGCGGCTCGGGTGGATCATGGATCCAGGCTCAGAGCGCTGATGTGTCTGGTATGACATCCAGTGGAGTTACGCCGAATGACGGGCTCTATGCGAACGACCCGCGGCGCAACCAGGCGCGACAGTTGCCTGCGCCTGCGGGGCAACCCGCTGCATTCGCGCCCATGAGCAAGGCCGCGACCCCATTTGGCACTCCGCAGAGTGCCTGGAGTGCAAGTAGCTTGCAGGCCAGACTCCAAAGCATCAGGATGGACCCGCAGCTCTACCAAGCCTTGCAGGCCACATCGCCCCTTGCATCCCCACGTGCCGTCGCGGGGCAACCTGCCATCGCGGGCCAGGGGGCTGCCCCGAGGACCGACAGCCTATTGGGGCAGCAACAGTGGATGCATAGGCATATGCAGGAGGCCATGGAGAGCATGAGACGGGACGCAATAGACCTTCCCAGCGCCAACTGGACTCCACCTTGGGGGCATGCTCCTGTTGCTAATCCATCGCCGAACCATCCAAACAGGCATGGATGCATTCTGGCGTTTTTCAGCCATCCGACCTATGATCCGACGGCCGCCGAGAGACCAGTGGCACCGCGCATGGATTCTCCCATGTTTCCTGATTACTATGCGCAGACGACGGGGGCCCCTCGGGTCGGCAGCCGTCCCGGAAACCCGCGCGCACGGGCGACAGCACGCGATTTCTATAGGTCCCAGCAAACACGGGGAGCTGGATACGAGGCCGGCCCCCCTGGCCAGGTGCCCCACCATGGGTACCTGGCAGCCCCCATGGACCAAGAAGTGAACCCACGCGGTCCAGAGCTGGTAGTACCTACATCGATGGGAGAGCTGTGTCCCGAGCTGCTGGCCATCCATGCGGCGCAGCAGGCCAACCTTTCGATGCAGCTTGCTCGCCAGCAGCGTAATCAGGCGCGGCACGCGCGCCGCGGGATGAATCGTGCGGGAACGCCCGCTGTTCTTCCAGCTGCGGGGCAACCCGCCATGAGCCTTTCAGCAATGGTTGCGCTGGGATCAATGCATGTGGGACCACTGGGGGCACCTGCGTTCCCGCCCCGCCGTTGCGAAATGGGAGATGCCACACTTGAGCGGCAGGCGCGCGTCAGGCCGCCAGTAACGCCACCGATTATCAGTGACGGCGATTTCACAAAGTGTGCCATACATCGCCGTGGCGAAAGTTTATTTCAAATTGCCTTTCGGAATGTCGCGCTCGCGCGGAGTAGTTCGGGGTAGTTTTACTAAAATTACTCCGCGCGCAGTCGCGTCCCGCTCGATAATTTACATGGTTTGGCGCGGAGTAGTTTCCGATCCCGCTTTGGGGTAACAGAGTTATTAAGGTGTCCGGGATTGGAAGCTACTCCGCCGAATGATCCCAGCCAGCGTCATGTCATTTTAGGAGTCTTGAGAGGGGGGGAGAGATCCCCATCATAGCAAATTGAAGAAACTTCTGTCACGGCTGTGTATGCCTTGAAGAGGTTGCATATCAAGTCAAGGTATGGAGGCTTCAATGTGGCCGTATCTTCCATGCGCAGTGTTGGGATCGTGTAGCACGCGCACGTGTGGGGCAACAGCTGGAATGTGCCCCAAGTGAGGCAGCATGCGCCATCTGCAGAGGCGCAGGCCCCATCACAGCTGAGTTTCATTATGCCTTTGCCAGGGGGCACAACGCAGCGGATCGACATGAAGTAATGCTCCGCGGGGCAAACAAACTCAGAGATCTCCGTGAAGAGCTGAAACGCGTCACCGCCATGATGGCAGGCGCTGCAGCTACTGCAGGGGCACCTGCTGCATCTGCGGGGAAGCCTGCTGCGCCTACATTTGCGTGGCCAAACCCAACTGCAACAACGCCATCTGCAGACATGCATGTGCCGCTGGTAGCCGAGTCAGCGGCCATTGTAGGGGCACCTGCTGCAACGACGCCAGCAGTGTTGCCTGCTGATGATGCGTGGCTGAGACGCATGCAGAGAGCCACGGAGGCAAGTGCACAATGGCTTCGCACGCCATATTGCAGGGCGCGGGGAAGCCCGCTACGCTCGCGCAGAACCGAGAGCCCAGCGAGTGCGCGCAGCGGTGCCAGTGCCATATCTGAGCGTGACGTGCTGCGCACGATGCTGATGATCAGCGCAGATGGTCAGATAGCCGTGCGTGCCTACTAGGACACCTTTGAGAACATGCCGCTTATTCAGCAGCATCCTTGCATATCTGATGAGTACCCCTCTGAATGGACTCTTCAACTACATCCCAGTGCAGAGGAGGGGGCCAGGGGTACATGAACGTCTTTACCTCTATGACGAGGAACCAGTGGGTGCTGGATCATGGGCGCCGCAACGGCATGCACGGCGCAGCGCTGTCCGCTGCGCCGGGCAAATTCGGCATCGGCAGCAACCTTCATCGTTGGCCGGAAAACTGCGCAGACATTCGAGCGAGCTTCACGCGCGCATGGTCACGGTATCAGGAAGCTGGATCTGGAAAAGAGGTTGTAGGTAACCGGAGTGGGCAACGGAGCCGCCGTTTGCAATGCGTCAGAGCACTGCAATATCGTTTGCAAATATATGGGCGACTCCGCGGGGGCACCCACTATTGCCTGGTTAGACACCTACTCAGCCAATGTGGCAGAGGGGTCTGGCGAGAATCTGCCCGCCATCCTGGGACTTTGAAGCATGGCGACCATGCGTGCCATCCTGATCATTGAACAGGGACATGAAAATATGGTCATCCCAGGTACTGACATGCACGGGCTCCTTCTTGGTCAGGGTGCCAGAGTGTTGGATCGGATGGAGAGACCATCGGGGCACCTTGCGATCAAGGTCGACGAGTACGGGGTAGCAACAGAGGCCGATGGTTCGACATATTCTACCATTACGGCCAACCCTCAGTGCGAGGAGACGCCCGCGCTCATCAATGAGACTGCAGATGTGGAGCCGATTGCGGGGCAACCTGCTTCTGGCAGCGCGGGTGCACGCGCTCCCAACGACGCCCGCGCAAGCGTGATGTCCCAGGACACCGAGGGCATCGGTCACTCCATTAACGAGGAGACCTTTTCACGCGCGATCCAGTTTATGTTGGGGATCACCCCTCAGACCTGGCATCGCGGGGGCACGGTGTTCGGTGGCAGACTCGCGCCTGCCGATCAGGATTTCACCCTGAGGAACTTGCAGGCGAAGGTCTATCAGGCCATCTACGAGGAGTGCAGCGAGTGGGCGCCGCCCAACAGCCACGCGGGGCAGCTTGCCACTGCGGGGCATGCCGCCGCGCCGAGCTACGCTTCCGAGATGTGCGACGTCTTCGCCTCGAGCAGTGGCTCAGGGGCCCATGGCGCGGGCATTTTGACTCCCCCGTCGCTTGAAAATGAATGGCGGGGGGAGGCGCGCGCCACGGCCACTCGCGCTTGCCCAGACAGGCCGAACACTGAGGTGCTGTCTGCAGGCTCGGGGGCGCCCGCGTACTTTCCCCAGGCGCCGGCCGTGTGCGCTGGGGGCAGCGGCGGGCCCGGCTGCGCGGCTGCCGCAGGAAAGGATCGCTCATC